GATTTTAAAGTTTGAGTTTAATTTGACCACGTGTTAGGGCTTTTCTTGGAACTACAAGAGCGTGTTTTCTGTATTTTATTTATAAAAAATTTTCCCGCTGCAATTTAAGATTTGAGTATTTTGTTTTTCAAGGGCATTTTAGTAAAAGTAGTACCCAACCGGGTTATGTTGTTACAGTTGCTCTCTACCGGGACAAGCCCAAGCTTCCGTTTACCATACCGTCTACGGGAACAACCTCCATTTTTTTACTCACATCGTCGCGCGAATGGCGACTGCAAAGGGTTGGAGAGAAAACCCCAACCTCAAACTTAACTCCTTATGAACGAGAGAGGAGGTGATGCAAAATGCTATCCCTCCATTGTCGAGACTGACTTTGATTCCTCATACATCGAGAAAGGATTGAGCACACCATGGTGATTAGAAGCTTACCGAGTGCATGCCCTAGGCGAAGGAGAGAGGGGAGAGCTCCCCTCATATATTTTTTTTTTTTACAAATCCAAACCACCTTCGGTTTGCATTTCCTTACCCTTTGAAAAACTTGCATGTGTTGACTTCGCTTTATGTTGTTTTATAGTTTTAACTAGTGAATGAATCCCTTATATGTCAAGTAATATATGAATGATTGTTGGAGACTATTTAGTTTCTTAGGAATGGTTGCAATTGTTGTCATATTGAGCATGTGTGCTAGCCTAGCCTACCAATTAAGCTACTTATAGCTAGGGTATGGCATGGCTAGTGCAATATGATCATAGAATGAATGCTATGGTTGTGTATGTGTGTTTTGGAGGCCTTGGTGGGCTTTATTTTTATGAATTTGTGGAGTTTGAATGTCGCCCACCAAGTGCTCGATGAATTGCCCAAACCACATAGAACTTGTTTTTCTTGGTCTATTGCTTTTCAATTGAACTTGTTTGATTAAGATAGACCCTTAGGAGTGTGTTTATGACTTAGGATTGACTCCCTGATGCATGTTCCTTGAGTTTGAATGTTTGGTTCACTTTTGATTTTGTGCTTCGATACGCTTTTTGAGCCAAGAGTTCAAGCTGTGGTTGACTTAGGTCAGGGTTTAGAAATCTCTTAAAAGACATGGCACCCTTGCATTCATGCATCTAGAGCTCGATCCTAGTCATGAAAACATGCATTTTACCTATGCACCTCTAGTTTCTACATTGTAACACTTAAGTGTGGGGGTGTTTAGACTAAACCTAAGGATGCATTTTGTTGTTCAATTGATCTAGTGAGTTGCCTAATGGTTTTTTTGAACATGTTTTGTGATTCTTCTTTTCTAATGGCGATCCAAATGAGGGTGATACTGCTAGTTCTCTTAGTCCTCAACAATGAATGATTGGAACCGCCCAAGCTGCGAAGGACCACAACTTCCAAGAGAAGACCATAACCTCAAATTGAAGAGCCACCACAACAAGCCCAACAAAGCACCCCATGGAGGCAACTACGAGCTATGAGGGATCATCTAAGAAAGAGCCTCTGATGTGCAACTACCATATGCTCCAACCGTGCATCAAGACAACTTGGCATCTAGGGGCCGATTTCTATCTTTCTTTTCTTTGCTTTTCTTTATTTCAATTAAAACAATGTTTAATTATAGCTTTATTTTCATTTTACCCTTCATACCTTAAATATTTCATCGCTAGTAGTAGTAGTACTTATTATATATAATTTATCGTACTTATAACTCCTATTCCTCTTCCTCTCTATCTTATGCGCTTTATCATTGTGAAAACCACCAGAGAGACAAAGACTACACTTGTTAACCTTCACCAACCCACAACACGACCTATGGTAACATTCACGATATTTTCTTTGCGAACTCCCACATTGATGTTCGTGCATGTTTATCATGATTGGTGAAACCGTTTATTCCTAGTATCCTCCCTTTTTTGTGAATGTAAGACGTTGATGCATGCTTATGAGAGTGTATGGTAGTGATCATGCCTTTGTTGTGGCGATGAATGGTGAAATATTAGTGTTTTTGGAACTTTGAATGCACACCCAAATTTTTTCAAATTTGAGGGTTCCAAAAACACACTGTCCTTGCAATCACCTACTCGATGTGCTTTGATTTGACTAGATTGATTGATGTGCTGTGCATCTTAGGTGATAGTTGCATGGTTTGAGTATCGGTACTTGAGGGATTTTACTACTTCCCTCCTCTAGTGTGAGTCGATGGTGTTTGCTATCTTAGGAAGGCATTGTGTGCGGGATTCTCTCCTTTATGTGTACTAGGAACTTTTTCAATTTGTGCTTAAAAATAGAAAAGAGGTTCTCACGTGAGTGGCAAGTGGGCAAAGAAAAGGATTGTTCTCTTGGCCCGAACTGCCCGTCGATGATGTGTTTGGGGTTCAGATAGCTTTTTTGCGTCCTGATCATCTCTTACTACTTGCCATCCCCTAAAACCTCTCCTCCTCAAGAAATCGTATGATAAGGACCAAAGGTACGTGTTAGCGATTCATGAGACCTCATAGCTCTCGTTTGTGCCCAACATGAGTGGCAACCCAATGTGGAGTGCAGGTTGGGACCCGGTGCTCGGGATAAGACGAATCCGACCATCAATTTCCCCACATGCGACCTTGAAAGGGAAGGCTATGATTCATCTGCTCTTGGTCATGAGGGAGAGATGCGATTATGCAATGAAAGAGATTGCAAGAGTTCGGTGCAATGTGCATTTACGAAGAAAAAGGAGACAAAAAAAAGACAACTCCTACATCAAAGAAAGAATAGAAGCACCGCTTATAGTTCTATTAGTCGCTTTTTGTTGGAGAATCCCCCCTGAACACATTTTGAATGATCGGCCTAAGATAGTAGATATGGTCCTCACACAAGAATTTGTGTTTGCACAGTAGGAAGGTAGTAGTGTTCATTCATCCTCGTATACTCTTTTCTATGCAATGAAGAACTAGCATGCATTCCTCATTGATTCGTCTATCATATTGCATTAGGTTTGAGTAGGTTTGCTTGGGGACAAGCAAACGCGTAAGTGTGGGGGAGTTTGATACAACCCTATTTTGTTCCCATTTGATTTTGATGTGAATAAAGTGTGTATTAGTCAATAAGTGCAAATTAGGTACAAAACAAGGTCACAAGTGTAGAAAAGGGGCAAGGGTCGAAGATCGTAGTCTACAAGCCACAGACCACGGTCGGGATCTCCAGTCGTGAAGTCTCGCCGAAGATCGCGGCTCAGAAGCCAAAGATCACAACTGCGATCTTGGAACCCCAAGGCGTGTACTTCGCGAGGAAGGATCCATGGATGAGCAGAGAATTTCCCAAGTCGAATCACAACCAACGTGCAAAATGCCCGCAAGGAAGATCAAGGGCCCGACTCAAGGACCGCGCCTGCAAAGTCAAGCCACGATCTCCCTCATCCTTAAGGCCTTGACGACCACATTTTGAGATCATGGTCCATTGACCAAAGATCACGACTGCGATCTCCCTGCCTCAGGCTACGAACTTCCTCGAAGCCAAGTTGCCTATAAATAGAAGACCCCTTCCTGACACGCTATGACACAACACCAAACTGCGAGAAATTTTTGGCTCTATAGGGAGAGAAGAGAGAGACACTGAAGGGAGAAGAAGAGAAGGAGAAGGAGGAGCAAGGAGGTATATTCTACCCCAAGTCTTCTTCTATTTCTACCATGTATCTTCTTCTCTCATTTATGGAATAGTCCTCTAAGGTACTAGGGGTTCTAAACACCAAAACCTAGTTTTATGCTTTACTATGTTTGTATGGATATTTTATGGTTTGAATGAATGAATGTGTTTTTCTAGTTGATTTTTAATGTCACTCTTTCCTAAATGATGACGATTGGGTAAGTCGCCCTAATCTTCCCTCTTAGCCCACATTATGCTACTGCGCTGGGTAAGTAGTTCTAGGGTTAGACGGGTATGCGCCAGCTGGCGAGTTTAGGTTAGATGTGTGAATGGGGGCCTATAGTGGTCGAGGCAACCGAACCCTTGCTACAGGTAGCCTTCATAGACAAAACCCAAAATTAAATCTCGGTGTGGACGGTGGATAGTGTCCATTGAAATGAGCCATAAGCTTAAAGCCCTAGATACGATAGCCTAGATCGAGGTGACTGAAACATGGTTTTAGGGGTGTCGTACTCAGATGCGTGTGGATAACGATGAATGCCCACGGAAAAGAGCTCACTTACCACATTCGATAACCCTAAGTATCTATACATGCATAGTATCCCTATGATAGGGGGAGGATTAGTTCCCAGAAGTACCTGCTTATAGCTTTGATCAACTTATTGACTAGTAGTTCCTCATATCCTCCACTCAAAATCTCAAAAATCGATTACCTAATTAACAACACGGTGGGAAGTAGGCTAGGGTGCCAGGACCCGAGTAAGATACGACCATGATTACCACTATACAACAATGTCTTCCTAGGTTAAACTTGGCTTAGGATGAGATAGTTGTTAATACGTGCAAACCACTGACACTAACATGCATGGATTCAAGTGATCAAACCTCCTATCAATGTGACTCCAATAAATGTTTCTTTTCCGATCGAACTGTCAATACATGATTTGTCAAACACGAATACTTTATTTTTTGCTTTTGTTATAAATATTGCCCCAATAACAATAGCATTAAATACAGCTACATCACTTTACAAGTATCTCGATAACACCAACAATGTGTATGATCTTCTATTTTTAATAGCTTGTCCGAGCTTCTTCAGCAGAAAGAATTTGACAGTTTCGAAATTATTTCATTTTAGAACTTGCATACTATTTACCTATTTGGTGCATAGGCACAAGTCATCAAACACGAACAATAAGTTCATGGTGAAATTCTTTTATGAACAATGATAACGTGAGATGAACAAAAATTCAAGTGATTTCCATTTCACTCATTCTATGTCATTGTAACCACCAACTACATCAACGTTGTCCCTGATGAAAGAAAATAATTTAATGGGACCTTTACAATTTTATTTTGAGCAGAGGTCGAGCGCCGACCACTTGAATATTGAATTATGCACCCCAGTTAGGAATGTTTTCGGTCGCTTCATTCACCATCTTTACAAGAGTAACCTGCACATAACGCAAATCGACACTAAAAAATGAAGGATTTAAAGAGGCAGGGTGTTTTGTGTTGTCCATGTTCATTTGTCACATACCACACTTTCAGGAACGCCTTTTGGAGGCAAAGGGAAATTCCTAGGAGGAGCTTCTCGTACATATGATCTCTTATCGAATCTCCATTCTCCTCGTTTACCATATGTCAGCTCGCCCTGCTAGGTATAGTATAAGCATATTAAATTATTCAAATCCCTCTCGTTCTTATTCTTGAAATAATTGAAAAATGATGAACATATTTATTGAAGAAACCGAAAAACTAATCCTTCTTTGATCGGACTAGGACTCAATAACCTGTTTTGTAAAGAACTATGTTAAACACTTGTATGATTCCTAAACACTAAAACTGACTCAACACAACACTTATATGCTAGATGATGAATCTGAAACTACCATAGCCAAATACTAATGATGGTAATCCTAGCTTCCAGCCATGATATTGGTAGATTCAGTCTCACCTTGAAGGTGTAGTCACATCCATAGGTCAAATGAAGGATGAACTTCTTTCCGATTTCTCGATCGAATGGAGGCTACAAATGAAGTAACCTTCAGTCAGAACCACCTAACCCATAAAGCTAGACATCATAAGGAAACTTACTCTCCAACTCAAACCTGCAACATGAAGTCCTTTCGAAGAATGTGATGCACTCCATGTAAAGCTGATGCAATTGCATATGCGTACCTTCATTTTTTCATCCCAACAACATTAATTAATAGAAAAACAATTACCAATAACCATGAACCTTATATAAGGAAATAGAGACTACATTTCCAACACCCATCCAAATGCTCTGTCTGTGTCGGGGTCACTTTTCATTCTGATAGAGACATTCATCCATGTGGGAGCAATCTTTTGCAGCAAATCCAGATCACACAAGGAATTCCAATCTTAATAGTTGTCCCAACCCATAAGTCACCCAGTTGTTAAAAAAAAACAGTTCAGAAAATCATCCATAATAGCAATGGGGTTTGATTACCTTGCTAATAATGACATGAGAATTACCAATTGGGTCGACATTGGAGATAGGCCCCATTTCCTCTCGAAAATACTTCCTGACGATGTCTGCATTCTCTAGAGGCTTGATGTAGAAAAATTGGAAAGCTGCGGGGATACCTTCATGTGACAAGTTTGGGAGGGGACTTACGAAGATATGATCTGGCTCCGCCATTAGTATGTAACTAAAACACATGTATAACAAAACAATGTCAAACTTGGTTGTATTGTACCATCGCCACAAACCAAGAAATAGGAACAAATTAACATTCAGAAGTAAATCTCCTACTCTTCCTCAATCACCTCCTTCTCCAACCACTGCACAAAGGCCCATGGTCTGTTCAGAACAACATACCCCTGCTTCAATTAATTCAATTTTTAGATATGATACATATGTGACATACATAAAAGTACTTGTCTAGTAAACTAAAAGTATTTGAAAATGGAGCAAAACTAATTACCTGATCCATACCTGGAGGAAGAGGATCAACCACAACAGTAGGGATCTCATTCATCAAGCTGTCGGGTTTTCCGGAGTGCAGTATCCGAGTGAACCCGCCCATCTCGGAAATCGGGTGGTCTTTTATCCTCTTGTACCAGTAGTACATGATTCGGCATTGCCACTAATTGTAAATGGCGTCCGTTGCAGTCATGGCGACATGAAATGGAGTCTTGGGATGCTTCGGTTTCCACATATCTCGAGGCATTTCGACGACAGGGTCGTGATCAATTAGAGACTGGTCGTGTGTTCTATGCCGCATCATCGTGGAGACTATATTGTACGTCGCAAAGAAAAATCCCAAAAATACTATGATCAACATCACTAGTGATGATGAACTGTGCCCAGCTGCCACTGTCACTGTCTTCCTCGCCCACAGAATCATTTCTGTGATAACAGATTTTGAAGTATACGTTCCTCTATTCACCTAATTCGGCGATCGATAGCTGAACAATGTGAAATCGCTTGAACTTAAACTACACCAATCCGGCAACGAAGACAAAAACCAACATTGTATGGGCTCCCAAAATCATGGAAAGGAACAAAATTTTCATATTTCCTAAGTGTACATACCCATCCGCAAAGAAATTGGAATGCACAGAATTACAACATTACAAGACATTGAGGGGATGACACATACCTCTAAGGGGTAAAAAAAACAAGAGAGATCTGGAGGATGAATGACGGAGTCCAGACTGAGGCTGAGAGTGAGATGACGGTAATGCTTTTGAAATATGTGTTTTATTATAAAGGCAAAATAATTTTTTTTTTTTTGTTTCAAGAATATATGTAGTTTTTTAAGGGAAGAAAATATGTAGTTGATACTAAACTTATGTTTGGGTCGGCATTTGGAAATACTTTTTCTTCAATAGCTGAAATCGTATCAAACACTATAATAAGCCCACCAACAAATGTTGAAGAATGTTGAACCATACTGATACAAAATAACGAACAAAGAGGAGTTGAAAATGGTAATATCATGATATTGGTATAATGACATTGTAGAGTCTTTATCATAGTAGTAAAATAATAATGTAAGTATATACCCCAATACATTTATTTGCACAAACATACCTTTAAATTATAAGCATGTAACAAACACGTCTTTCTATCAAAATTTCCATCTGATCACCGTTAAATGGGATAAGAAATGACATGTTTACCCTTACTTATTTTATAATATTTATTTCATAAAAACTAATTAATCGGGATTATTATTATTATTCTTTTTATTTTCCTTCCATCTCCCCCACAAAAGCGTTCCCCCCAGACCACCACTATCGCTGAACGCCACCACCTCCGCCACCGCCACCATTCGGATCCCCCAAATTCAAGTTAAACCACCAACCTAAATGCCCAAAATCAACTCCAACTTCACAGGAGAAAAATGAAATCTAGTGAAACCGATTTGTGCTCTCATACATGGCTGTTCACGGGTAGCGCCTCCAGTTCACGGTCTTAGTGACTGTGAACACACAGCCCAAAACGTGATATGTTGCTGCTTCTACCCTTTGAATTGATTTTCCTCCCTTTCGCCCAACTTTCGACTCAGGGGTTGGTTCAACCTGCCAACTTTTGAAAAACATCAAAACCCGACGTAAAACCAAACCTCCTGTAGTTAAAATGCTTCAAACGACTAAGCAAATTGGGGGTAAAAAGTGTACAAATGAGCCCTAATCATCCCCGCATTTTGATTTTCAAATAATGCATTAAGTCATGCCCAAGAAGGATATTCTCCACGATTTGCCTCTCTCGAATAAAAGCATTCTGGCCTTTCGAGATGAATTGCGACAATAAGTTGGCCAGCCTTTCCGCCATAATTTTGGTTATAATCTTATATACAAACTGGCATAAGCTAATAGGTTTGAGTTCCTCATTGTTTAGATATTATCCACTTTCGTAATTATTGTCAGCCAAGTATGATTGAAGCTAAGGAGCATCCTGCTCGTTGAAAAGAACGAGCAGACCGCCGCAATCACAGAATCACCAACTATATCCTAGTAGGCGTTAAAGAACTTTCCTTTGAAACCATCCGATCCTGGTGCTTGTTTCTAACCCATGGAGAAGATACTTTTCCTTACTTCACTAGGAAGAACTTCTCTCGTAAGACACTAGCATTCATGGCATGAGTAACTCGACAATCTATCGAGAGCTCAGTAACCCGTTCAGTCATGTTTAACACCTGGTTTTTCGAGGTAAAGAGAGTTTGATAGAAATTAGTAGCAATGTCAGCCTTTCCTCACTACTCAGTTATCCACTCCCCATTCTCATTACAGAGGCCAGTCACATAATTCTGTTTTCAGTGAGCCCTTTTCACCGTATATAAATATGATGTATTCTAGTCACCCTTTTGTAGCAAGCAGACCGTCAATTTTTATAACCTATAGAACTCCTCTGCCTACCATTTCCTATTAACCTCCGTCTCCAAGACCCTAACCTCATCCCAATCAATCGGAACACTAAGTTTAATCAGGTCGATTTTTGCCGGGAGGATTTGACTCGCTATAACACAACTCCTAAAATGGCCAAGTGTAACCAATGAAAGGGACTGCAGTGTAGTGGCTCAAGTAATAAATATCGAATCCACGGATCTCTAGAGTTACTATTACTCAGCTTAAGTTCATTATTTAGCAAACCAGATTAAGATGAAAGAACTAAAACTACTCAAGCAAACTACAGTTAAAGTTAATCTAATTACAGGTTGGGAACTCACTTAGGTATGATTCCCCCTAGCTACTAGCCAGATTATCAAATGATGATTTTAACTTGTTTCACTTTCATTCACAATGGGGAGAATCCTTGACTAGACCTTGAGTCTCGACTAAAGGAACAAGGCCCTCTTGAGTCAATTGCCTAGAGGGATGTATCCTTCTCTAGAACAACCGATCAAGGCATTCTGAACTGGATTCCCTCTATCGAATGAGGTTCTCAATCGATACAAAGCAGTGAATCAACCCTCGACTAAAGCAATCGATCCACTACTATCAATCTATGGTGCTCTATTGACCTAATCAGGTATTCGCTCTCATAGGATCAAAGCAGAATCAATAATCTCGACTAAAGCATAATTGAATCATGAAAACATGCATAGATTGAATATGAACTCAAGATTATCAAGTAAGATTACTCATACAATCATCCAATCAAACAAACATAGCTAGGGTTCCTCAAAACCTAAGTGAAGGGAAGTTACTTCATAGAGAGGAGAGAGACTGCAGTAAGAATCTTCAGATGATCAGTCTTCAAGTCCGGGCTTGTTCCTTAGGCTTCCTAGGCGAAGAAATCCTCCAGTTCCACTCCAAGAATGCCCTCAAATCGCCCTCTCTCTCTCTCTCTCTCTCTCTCTCTCTCTCTTTGGTTCGTCCCTTAGGTGTTTGTTATCCAAAACCCAGCTCTCCCTTTCCTTTGGCTTCAATCTGCCTCAAAAACCCGATTCTGGGCAAAACACGGTCGAGGACACGGCCGTGTTTTACTTTTACTCGCCCATGTTTTGCCCCCAGCAGCCCTCGTCGTCCAAAACACGGTCGTGCCTAAATATGGACACGGCCGTGTTTTTCTTTAGGCCAGCCCGTGTTTTTACTGCCGAACCTGTTCCCCTATATTCAATGCTTCATTTCTCCCTCGTCAAGACTCCGAATCAGTCACCGTTTGATCCCAGACACTCGTAGTCTCGTCCTCTTTCTTTTCGTGACACATGATTATTTGTCCATAAGGTGAGGTAGAAATCCATTCTTCTTCAGGTCATGCCCGAGTTTCTTCTCCCTAATCGCCAATTGATCTCTGATTGACTTGAAACTTGCTCCTATGCTTCACCTTATGTGCTAGGACCTGAAATGTGACAAAGGAACACATCCTAGCGTAAAATAGGCCAAAGAAGCGATAATTAAAGCCCAAAAAGTCAAGAAAGAAAGGGGAAAACATGTGCAAATATCGAGTCATCAAATACCCCCGCACTTAACTGTTTGCTTGTCCCCAAGCAAACCTGACTCAAATCAATGCAACTCTCCAGACCTCTATAGCAACAAACAACCCTGATCGTCGGTAGAGGACTTTCTAGATCATAAAGCAGCTTACGAGGTCAACTGGTCTTCTAAGACGTCCCCTATCTCTCTCAATGCGAGTACTAGACTCAATCCAAGATCATGAGAAGAAGTAGAAGTAAGACGGTCAGTTCATGGATAAAGGGACTCACACCATTCACAACCAAGGACTCGTTGTACTGGGGTGCTCTTTCACTTCATTTTAGCGTTGGAACCCCTTTTTCACTTTCATTTTACTTCTTTTTTTTTTCTTTCTCATTCACTTAGCGGAGGTTCCAACTGCAGTCTTTTGCACGGTCGACCCTTATTAGTTGAGCAAGAGCAATTTCTGTACATCTGGCGCTCGCCAGAGTACTTCTTTTAAATCCTTTTCCTCAACTCGTGTGGAGGGTCAATGAAATTAAGGGGGTCAGAAGCTCTATCCATGCCCTTAAAAACACATCCTCAAGTAGGCAAACCGTTCGACGAGTGGAAGTTTTACTTGTACTAGAGACAACTTAGCTTCACCTTGTAGGAGTACCCCACTAAGGATCACTAAAATCTCTTCCAAAACCCGATTTTGTGCAATGAACGGTGCCACACACTTTGGGCTTACCCCATGTTTAATATTTAATGTTTTGACATGGAGGACCAACTGCTTTTCATTTTTCACATGAGCACCATGTTCGATACACGAGTCCATAACAGAATCCAAATAGAGTCACCATTACCACAAGATTTCAACGTCTTAGCTCCACTAATTCACAAAATCAACTGGCACAGCAGAGAGCTAGATAGGAAAAATCTTATACTTCAACATCCTTCATAGTGCTACACTACCTCCCTAGGTTGCACATTACTATAGAGACTGTCAATTCAAAGCATACTGAGCAGGCAATTTGCAAGGAAACACGTACTTGGAGCCCTCAAATTTAAAAATTTGGACAGTGGACTAGGCTCCAAGCACACAAACAACCAAACATTCACCCGCATACATAATCGAACATCCCCCCACACTTAAGCACGACATTGTCCTAAATGGAGGAAAGATAAGGAGGGTAGAACGAATTTACCAGATCAAGGCTGAATGATGGTGGACGAGGCAGGCGGTGCATTCCAGGAGGAGAGAGTAGTCGGAACACAAACACCACACAAATCTCACAAAGGTTGAGTTATTGACTCTAAAATAAAATAACAAAACTAACTCAACCGAGGAGAAAAAGAGAAAGAAATGCAAACTGACTGGTTGGGTTGCCCCCCAACAAGCACTTCTTTCACGTCGTGAGCTGGACGATGGCTCTTAAGTTTTGGTCCACCCCAACACCTCCTTGAAGTTGAGGTTCTCGTCGATGAGGTGGAGTCTCAA